TCCCTTTTTATCGACTTTTTCATAATTGCAAAAGAATTAGAATGGTTTCTGTGAAGTACCAGTTCTGTGAACAGGTGTGTAAATGATTTTGTCGCTTTATATTATATAGTCATTTGTGGCACTTGACACAAAATTAAATGCATCACATTTAGCAGATACAGACATAGACATAAAGTGGTTTTATCATCAAAATATTACTTTCTTTATTCACTTTGATTTGCTGTATAAAGAATTAGTTTGCGAAACCTTTACTTAACCTCTTTCACTTTTCCAAAATCATCCAAGACGATAACTGATAAAAAATATCGGGATGTCAGAGCCTGGGCCGAAGGACTTTGGCTCCCCGGCTATTGACTACATGTGTATATTTTTTTAATGTAACTCAATGAAAATCTGCAAAGACACAACTTTTCAACTAAAGAATAATTGTTGAGGTGTTACAATTGAAAATGGAAATCATGCATGAAATACTGAATGACACCTTAAAACGAAAAATATAAAATAACAAATGCACAGGTTTTGCCGGTTTTCATAATTATCTGTTTACTTTCAGCTTTTTTTGTGTGCAATAAATAATTATGTCCACCGAATGGAACAGACATGTTTTAAGGCACTGAAGATTTATCCTATTTACAAAGAATGAAAAAACAAGTAATATCAATTAAATCTATACTTTTGTAACTAAATATGATAGTATTGATACTGAATCAAATGATGGCACAATTGAGTGACATGTGTGTGTTTTTATTTATCTTGTGCGCATGGAAAATTATATTGTGGCCATGAGTTACTAAGTCATGGCCCGAATATTTCCTTGACTTAATTATCTCGTGCCCACAACTTAGTAACTATTGGCCAAGTCATAGTACCGTGTGACCACAACATAGTATCTCGAGGCCATGACATAGTATCTCGTTCCCACGACTTATTATCTTGTGCCTACAACTGAGTAACTCGTGGCCACGGCATAGTATCTCGTTCTCACGACCTAATAATCTCTTTCCCACAACTCGGTGCATAGAAAAACCGGAAAGCACCGGATAGCACCGAAATACCGGAAAGCACTCAAATTTCTCATAAAAACATATGAAAGCTTTATTTTATCGGTTTGAAAGTGTTACCAATCGATTTATTATATCAAATTCTACAACATGTTTTTTATAATTATAATATGATTATTATTACGATTATTTAAGAAAATAGATATATCGAGTGCTTTCCGGTCCTGCTAAGATACATGTACATTACCGAATAGCAATATTGTTTATCAAAGTAATACATGAACACTTTATTTTATTGGTTTGAAAGTGTTACCAATCGATTTATTAGATCAAAATCTGTTTATGAAGTCATTTTAATAAAAAAAATTTTTTATTATTACGAGTATTTAGGAAAATACATATATCGAGTGCTTTCCGGTCCTGCTAAGTTACATGTACATTACCGAATAGCAATATTGTTTATCAAAGTAATACATGAAAACTTTATTTTATTGGTTTGAAAGTGTTACTAATCGATTTATTAGATCAAAATCTTTCAGACAACATGTTTTTATAAATATGTATTGATAATTATATTACGAGTGTTTAAGAAAATAGATATATCGAGTGCTTTCCGGTCCTGCTAAGATACATGTACATTACCGAATAGCAATATTGTTTTTTTATCCAATCTATTTATTAGGTGAAGATCTGTATATCATGACGTTTTTATAAATATTTTATGCTTTATTACGCGATTTTCAAAGTTGCTACAAATATTGATTGCTTTCCGGTAATGCTAAAGTACATCTACTTTACCGTATAGCACTCGAATATTTATATAATTCACACTAATCCTTCATATTAATTATGTGAAAGTGTTAGAAAAGGATTTATTAAGGTGAACTTATTTTATTTAAAAATATTATAATTAGTTACACGATTTTTCAATCTTGCTCATACCATATATCATTGTATCATATTCTAATATTTTATAGGTTGTGTGAAAGACAGAAAGATGATGTGTAAAAAGAACAAAGAAGTTATTCAAAGCATTGATCCATATTTTTTATTATTATATTGTTATATTATGTAAAATAAAGAAAAACTTATAAATTTTCGTTCAGTTTTGTCATTATTTTGACCATACTATGTGTCAGTCATCAGTACAGGACAGAGTTGTTGTATTGATTATCACACGTGATAATCCGTGTTGATTAAAGACCTTGTATCATCCCAGCGAGGATAAGATTTCGTGGGACGAAGAAAAAATACCCCTGTTCGGTGATGTATTTTTTTCTTCACAGGACCGGAAAGCAATAATAGAATGTGTAGAACCGGAAAGCACTCGATATATCTATTTTAATCTATTTTATTCGTAATAATAATTATAAAAATATAATGCCAGAGAGATTTTTTTCCTAATATATCGATTGGTAACGTTTTCAATTAAATACAATGAAGGTTATACGTTTTTTTATGGTAAATTCTAGTGCTATTCAGTAATGTACATGTACTTACAACAAAATGTAACAGAACTGGAAAGCATTCTCCATTTCTTTAACATTCATAAACCTTTTAAATAATCATAGAATTTAGAATAAAACATGAAATCATACCAAATAAACCGATAAAATAAAGTTTCATATGCTTTTATGAGAAATTTGAGTGCTTTCCGGTATTTCGGTGCTATCCGGTGCTTCCCGGGTGTAGATTTTCCGAGGTTTATGAAAAAAACCATGGAAACTGCTTCAAAAACCTTGGAAATAAACCAGTTTTACAAGGTTTTTTTTTAATTCCGAGGTTTTTATTAAAACCTTGGAAACTTTATCCAAGGTTTTTGTATAAAAATCCTTGGAAATAAAGAAAACCTTGGAAACTACCTCGGAATTAAACACTCTGCCATAAATCAGCTCGGAAAAAGCTTGGAAATAAGAACTTTGTCATTTTTTTGCTCGGAAAAGAACTTAGAAATTTTACGTAAAATTTGTTGGAAACACTTTGCCAATATTTAGCTTGGAAATGACCTCGGATAATTGAACTTAACTAAATTTCATCTCGGAAAATATTAAGACATAATCATGATTTAACTTATCATGGGCATCAAAAGCAATAATCAACAGTTAAAGCAAACTAAGATAACAACCTGACTGTAGATTGCCAATGGATATTTTTTAATCCATGGTCAGAGAAAACAATTGTCCAACAGCATGGAAAGGAGAGATTTGGTCCAAAAATCAATTTTTAGTATGGACATTGTCAATGGCCAACTTCCTTTTCAATAAATTTGTACTTTAATCTTCTGAAGCCATTTTTTGGGGAGGAATCAATTAAAAAAATTTAAGTGTGAAAACATGGAAAAGTTAAATACAATGTAAATTCCTTGTTGCCATAAAATACCTTTTATTAATGGCTATAAAGGTATTGTAACTAATCATAATAAGATAAAGATTATTCTGATGATCAGAAAGACTTGAAAATTTTATTTTTTTTATTTTCATATTTTTTTTTATTATTTATAATTATTGTTACTAGATATCTTCTCCATTTTTAAGAATAGATAAAAGAGCAAAACTTATAATTATAGAAAAAGAAACAATCAGTGTTTATGTCTATTAGTTTCCAAATGCATCAGTATTTTTCCTGCAGTTTCTTTCTATATATAGACTTAACTTAGGGTTTCTTGACAGCCTGTAAGCAACACTGAATGCTATTAATCTTTAATATATGTTTTATGCCATATAAAATAGTATATTCTACTAAGCAAGTCTGTGACATACATTCAGATTACAATTTACTCTGCCATTAATTATGTGTACAATAAACATAAATAGTTATTAATTGTCCTTTAAATATAATTATGTACAATTGAATGTATGAAATATAATAACCAGTATGCTTGTTAATTTCTTATAATTAGGATAAATAAATACTGCATCCACTAAGATTTCACACACAGAATATAACACACTGATCAGATAAAACTAATGGCACCCCAGGTGGTTCCCTTTATCTATGCATGATCAATCTTCTCATTGAGCATTCTGGGATAGACCAGATTGTTCCATGTGATTATTCAGGGGGAATCTGGGTTTTTATACAATCCAAAACAGTCTAAAATGACACTGCAACTGTGATTCTCTTTCAAGAACTTATTATAATTTTCAAGTTTTACTTTTATTTATCATTTGATATATTTGTACCTTCAATAAATGTAAAAAAAAAATGATGATGGATTTGATATTTTGGGATCACCCCTGTTTCACATTATGATTGCCCCTTCAGTTATACTGTTGAAAAATTTGAATCTCAGACATTAATGGGTCAAGTGGTTATAGTTGGAAATAGTGCAAACCTGGATTTATTTTAAGCAATTTTGGAGATATCTTGTTTTATTAATGTTAGGGAGCATATTTTGGAATTTTCAAAGAAAACATTTATCTAAGTGTGACAAGATTCAGGAAATGTTTGGTTGTTGTAATTGAACCTAAAGATCAATGACCTGGGACAGGAAGATAAACAAAAGAAACAAGATAGTTAAAATGTTCAGGTAAATAATTTTAGATACATTTATGCATAAAATCTGTTGTTGTTTTTTTTTTTCAAATAAGTATTAAATACAAACTATTTTAGATCTATATTTTTAACCTAAATGTAAGCTAGTTTAAATACAATTGTTTAGAGGATATTTTATGAGTATAAATGCTATGTTTGTCTATGATTGTATTGAACAATATGAGTGCATTAAACTATGATGAATTTATTTATAAACTTTCATCTTTCATCTATTATTTGAATCTACAAATTTTAATTACAGAGTCAGCTTGTAAGCAAGTTTGCAGGACTGTTCCAAACTATCCAGCTTTGCTGTGTTTTATCATAGTATAAAGCAGAGGAATATACTGGAATGTAGTTGGCATTGGCACCTTCAAAGTCAGTAGTCACCAGGAAAGGCTTCAAGGAATATACTACAGTATGATTTTGTTTTAAAACTAGGTTTTGAAAGTTTCAATTTGAAATTTGAATGAATGAAGGTTTCTGGAACTGATTTTTTTTATTGATACTTTATTGGAAATGCTATTAATGTTACATGATGACTCTCCAGCTTTATTGATGCTGATGTCACTTTGAGCAAACAGATACAATTAGTGTAGACAATCGGAATCACCTTATGAAAAGCGTTATTTTTTGCAATATTTTTGGAGTGCTTTAGGTTGTAACATCCAGTATGACATAATCTAAAATAATAGTAACAGACATCGTTTCTTTTCTTAACATCGCAGAATTGTCACACTGCTTACCAAAGTTTTCTTGAAATCCTAACACTTAAAGTACTGATGAAGAAAAAATAGAAATCAACATGAAAAAAATTAAATTCACTATTTCAAAACAGTAGACAAACATTTAAAAGTAACTACAGAAAAGATCATTTGAAAATATTAAAGCCTTCATTTTAAGCAAAGGTCTTAAACAACTTGTCATTCAAGTAGTTTTGGATCACTCAAAAGATGTATTTCTTTTCACAAAAGTGCTGATTTTTTAAAACAATATACATCAACAGTGAACTGATATTTTTGTCTATGGAAACGTTTAAGGAACGTATCATTTTTTTTTATTGATTAATAAAAAAGAAATTAAATGATGTAATTCTGATTGCCTACACATATTGAACTGTCCTGAGTATAACCACAGGTGTTCCTTAATCCTGGGCTGGATAGCTCCCTCAGAGGGAAGAAGCCCATCCTGGCTTCAGGAGTCAAAAATACAATGTTGTAAGGCAAGTAGTTTGAAGTCTTTGATCCTGACCACATGGAGAGGGAAGCACCCAGTGGTGATTTTATATAATTGTTTTTCTAACTTCTTTCAATGGCTGTACTTTATTAAATATTTACTTTATTTATTTCAGGAATTGTATCCTGGAGCATTTTCCACATGTGACCCCTGTGATGGTGAGGGAAAAACTAAGGGACACTTTAAAATCATGGAGAGTGAACAGGAATTCAAAAGATAGATATTTGAATACATTAAAATATACCAAAAAATACCAAAAAATTATAACTGAACATTGATTGTAATATTTACCATTAAAGACTATAACTAACTTAACTTTTCATTTGTAGTGCATTACTATTTACTTCACACTGACATTAAATGTTTCAGTGAGTCATGTGATCATTTTTTGCTCTGTATTATTATAAAGAAGTTTCTTAATTCCTTAAAAGGACAATATAATTGCTCTTTTCAGAATATTTCATTGGATGTTATATTTTCTTATTTTCCATGGATATTCTAGAAATTTCCAAGGTTTTTGCTCAAATAAACCTTGGAAAATTCTCTGATGCCCTTAAGTAAGAATCCTCGAAAATATAACAGTATTCCCAGTTGTGAGAAACTTTCCGAGGTTTTCATTTAAAAACCTTGGAAAACAAACCACGGAAACACTTTAAAAATCCTTGGAAATCGTTCCAATACTCCGAGGTCACTCATTTTCCAAGGTTTTCTAAGAAAAATCCTCGGAAATTATTTTACGAGGTTTTTATTCTGAAATCCTTGGAAATTGTTCCAATACTCCGAGGTCATACTTTTTACGAGGTTTTTTTTTAATAAAAACTCGGAAATTTTTTACAAGGTTTTTCACCCTCTCCCTATTTTTCCAAGGTTTTTTTAATAGCAAAGTTTTGCATTTTCTTGTTCCAATACTCCGAGGTTTTTTTCCAAGGATTTTGAGCCAAAAACCTTGGAAAATCTACACCCGGGATTCCGGTTTTTCTATGCACCCCCCACAACTTATTTATCTAGTGCTCATGACTTAATTATCTCATGGCCACGACTGTGTAACTCGTGGCCACAACATTGAATCTAGTGCACACGAGATAAATGAAAACACACACTTGTCACCTTTGTGCCACCGTAGAATCAGATAATGACTAATGTAGAATTGTAGATTTCTAAATTGAAAATGGAAATTGATATAGTGACAAGAACAGAAGAATGACACATGCAGTAAGATCTTTATGTCACGGTTCAGAACTGTTCACTATTTAGGGGAGAAGATGTGTAAGCGGCCGGATAGCTCAGTCGGTAGAGCCGCGGAACGGTATTCCGAAGGTCCCGGGTTCGAGTCCCGGTCAGGCTGCACATTTTTCTCACCCTGTGACATTTGGCGCCCAACGTGGGACCGTGACTGCTTATAGCTCAGAGTTCAATTAGCATTGCTCTGTAGCTTTGTGAAATTCGAGGACGAATTTCAATATTGTGGTGAAGTATGTCACGGTTCAGAACTGTTCACTATTTAGGGGAGAAGATGTGTAAGCGGCCGGATAGCTCAGTCGGTAGAGCCGCGGAACGGTATTCCGAAGGTCCCGGGTTCGAGTCCCGGTCAGGCTGCACATTTTTCTCACCCTGTGACATTTATTACTTACCTCCTGTATAACTTGAAATACTATCAACATGTGGGCGAAGTTTATCTATAGCTGAAGACAAATCATCTTCTAAATTTTCAAACTTCTCTGATGACATTTTTCATGTCAAATCATATGATAACTATAAACAAATAGGGGAGATCACTTTTTTATTTCCTGATTCTCTTTTGTGAAGAGTATTCTCCTCAATATCAGATCGCGCTTGCATTTTATACAGAGTTGTAAAAGCGTTTGCTGTAACAGATTGAATGAATTTGTAAGGCGTCATTAGTTACTTAATTTTATCTTATACATGCTCTTTTTTCTTTTATCATTGAACAGTTTTGTTTGATTTTTTATTTAAATGAATATATACACATATTCAATTCAAACTGATTGCGATTATGCTCTATGAAGAGTGAGGCGATTACTGAAGATGATGATGATCTGATGATGACATTTGCGTTGCTCGACTGAATTATTAGTGATACCAGATCATAACTATTTTATCTATTTAGATTTATGTCGGCATGTCTAGTTTCAGTCCTGATTTAGAACGTATTCAATAATATGAAATTAGGCAAAGCCTATGAACGGGGAAGTCGTTAAAAAATCCTTTCATTCTTTCCGTTTTAAAGGTGTCATTCGATATTACATACACCGCTTCCGTTTTCACTCGGAACACTAGACTATTATTACTAATCCGAAAAGTTGAGATTTGTTCCGTTATCGGAATACCCCGCCTATTATCATTGACATACATTGTAAATGGCGGCGCCCGACTAGAACTGACACTGAAAATTTTATTGATAGGTATAGAATTCTATATATTTTTTAATTGTTTTTTATTTGATTTTTTTTTAAATATTCATGTGTAGTCTATAGCCGGGCAAGCCAAAGCCCGGACCCGCTTCGCGGGCCCGGTCTTTGACTTCCCCGTATGATAGCTATTTGCAACTTGATAAAACTGACAGTGCAAAGTGTCATCTCATTGCAAAGAGCCAATTAAACATTAACTTAATGAATAAATAGAATACCAGTATAAACCACATTGAACCAGCAGTGGGGGACAGATAAAAAATAAAAACTTTGTTTCTGCTTTATCAAGCACTGCCGGTCTTTGAAGTGGGAGCCAGGTTACAATATATCGATAAACATTTTCAGACCTAGCAGATGACAGACTATCCATATGATACATAACAGATTTTTTTTGTTTTGTTTTTTTTTGTTTTTTAGTACTGGTTGGGGACCACCAAAACCGGACAACCACCAAACCTAGACGGCCCCAAAAATGTTAAATTTAAAATTTTCTTTGTTCAGTGGTTGTCAGTCACTTTTTTATCAACAATAAATGCATGTTTATTTTAAAATAAAGTAAATAAATTTATTTCAACTTCCGTAAATGGTGATATTTTAATGTCTATTTCAAGAATGTTGACGTTGAAATTTGGGGGTCAAGAAAGCAATGCCTGACCTCATATACCAGCTATAATCATTTGCAGAGTGAATAATAGAATATCCAAAACTTCAGCATTTGTTGCTGACATATTGTATATCATGTTAAAAATCAAAAATCAAAATAAAAAAGCTTTTATCTGAATTAAATCACGTCATGTACATATCTGTCCGGACACATGGTACTGTAGTGTAGACAATTTAGGTAATTTTGATACCCTCCTTGTCGAGCCTCAGATATAAGTGTCAATAAAATCAGAAATAAACAAACTAGTTTGTTAGTTAGGAGAAGAACCTAGCTGAACTGTGTCAAATTTTTTGGTCTCTAGGTTAAAAATTATGAAATTTGTACAGAAAAATGTTCCAAAAGTGTCCGGTTGAAGGTCACCGACCAGTAAATATATTTATTATCGACGGCGTACCTCTCTTTATAAATGGTATCTAAAATGGCTGACATGTGGTTGAAGGCCAGTTAGCAGTTAATTTAAGTACCTTTTGAGTCTAGAGAATGCTAAGATCTACTTCATCGGTGTAAGAATTTTAGAAATAGTTAATATAGGCACTGTTTATGGGACAGTAAATTTGATCCACTGATGCATGCAAACACTTATTTTTAAAAATTTTATTCCATTAATAAAAGCTTTACTCTTATCGAATTGATTGATTGGGATTAAATAAACATGTAGCCTGATTGTTGAAATCGCTGGCTCAGAGTGAGCCTTTAATAACAAGTTGTTTTTAAAACAATGCTGCTAAATCTTTAATGAACAGGTTGAACTCTATCGAATATTAATATCTGAAATACGATAATACCCTTTATAATATACATGTAGAACTTATTTGGTACTATAAAGGGGTATTTTTGATATTATTGTATAAATTGGTCATTTGATAGAATTTCATGTTTCTGAGGTAAAACAAAATTACTAGGGATAGCAACGAGTAACCGGTTAACCGAGTACTCGATGGAACGTCCAAATATTGGTTAACAAAATTGATATTCAATTCCTTGGAATAAAATATTAAATTTCTACTTTTTTGCGATTTAGAAAGATTAGTTCAGAAATTCGGAAATGTACATGTATCTGTACAAATACTTGTTTAATGCAATCAAAACATCCTTGCAGTGGTGTGAAAATGATATCGTAAATTTAACGAGGCGATCAGCTGTTTGACATGTGTATGGGATTGAACACAGTCCTGTGTCATTTATGTCATCGGCCTCTTATGATATTTAATTCAGTTTGTAGCCGAAACTTGTTAATTATAAAAACATTAATATATACGGAATATTATGTTGTTACTAAGCTTTGTATTTTGCTACGAGCAGCGATGGAAAAATTAATATCTTGCGAGACCGAAGGTCGAGCGAAATATCAATTTTCCAACCCTGCGAGTAGAAAAATGCATAGGCTCAGAAAGCTACTACAACATAATTTTGGTTTCTGTTTCCAAATGCTACATTTATGCACAGGTAAGATCGGAACCAACGTCAAAAATAGTCTGGCACTTCCATATATGGTACCGTATATTTCACTAACATAATACGGAATTTTCTATCCGTTGAAGAATATTTGTGCTTCAAGTTCATCCTTTACTTTAGGGTATATAATAAATGCTGTCATTGACATTTCTTATGTAGATATTGTGTGATTAAACTTTAAAGATCATTGGAAATCATCAGAGTAACTGAGTACTCAATCGGAAAAAATTACCGAGTACTCGAGTATTGATTTTGGTATTTGTTGCCATCCCTAAAAATTACTAATTCATTAATGTATTTTTTTTTCAGAATCTTATCAATAAGCAACAAAGATACTTATACCAGGAATAAGTGTTTATAGACGAACTGAAGGCATGACATTGTTGTGATGGATTTCATAGAACACCTGCTGCCAGAATTATTAGACAAAATCTTATCATATTTAACAGAAAAAGAACTTGTGACTTTCTCAAAATGTTGTGTTAAATGGAGAGAAATAACAAATAAAGACACATTATGGTAAATGCCTTTCACACAAACCTATTTAATGTGCTCAATATGTTTTTATCTTCTAATTAAATGGAATAATTACTTTTTCCAAATAAGAGGCAGGACCCCAATTGTACAAAAAGAGGTCCTGCAAATTTGACACATTACAAGATGGAAGAAAACACTTTAATATTGAACTAGAAGTCGCCAAATGTATGCTTGTTAAATTCCAAAATATTTTTTTGTATTTTTATATGTTGTGGATGCATGTCTTTAATAATATGTAAACCTACTTTAAATTTAAAAGTCATTGTACTTACATATTTTGTAAATATTTTACAGGTTGCATCATTGTATGAGAAGAGGATGGCTAAGGTTTGGTCTAAATGGCGACATCAACAGAGAAACTCATCTTAATGTGAAGATGTCAAATATTGGTGGAAATTCTCCAGTTTTCCAATTATATGGTATGAAAATATTGTTATCTTGGACAAGTTTCTCCAGAAACATTTGTTATTACTTTAAAGTAATTAATTGAAATTATTTAAAGATAACATTTTGTTCCCTTTTCGGTCTTTTTCTTTCACTCATAATATATATTCCTTAAAAAAGTTATTCTTTTAAGGAAATGGTTTAACCTTTGTATATCTGTGTTTCTTAATTTACAAATCCGTCCTTTGTGAAATTATTTCATTGTCATATTGCATCATTGAGTGTATTAAATTGTTAAATTTTCTTTATTTTTAAAGAGTTCATACTGCCAGCTAGTATATTACTTTAGATATTGGTGGTCACAAAGATTTTGTAACTGTTTGACAAAAAAAAACTGTTCATGATACTTAAAATCTGATTTGTTTAGTGTTTCTTTAGACACAGCAATCAGTACATGGATTTAATAGGTTAGATATTTATATTTTATTTTCAGTTTGGTACAATGTTTTTAATATAATGAATCAATTTTTCATGAATTTGTTACACATGCATGTAACTGAAAGTTGTTATTTCCAGTTCCAGAAGAGACCAGATTATCCCCAGTTTGTAAGTGGAAAAACATTTTTATTAGAGTTCATCATTTAAATAAAAACTGGAGAAAAGGTCGATATTCAGTATCACCATTGCTGAAAGGACACGCAGAAAAAGTTACAGCATTAGCATGTAATGGTGAGGAACTCTCTACCTATACTTATATCATTTATGCAACACTTTTATGTTTACCTTTAAATCAGTGTTATTGGTAAGTCAGTTAATAAATAGTCATTAGTCTTTAAAAATGTTAGGTATGTTGAAAATGATATATTTTGACAACAAATCTAAATGCTTTATAATAATAATACCTGTATATTTATATGTTATACCAGGAAAGTATATAGTTTCTGGGAGTGAAGACAAGTCATTAAGAATGTGGGACATGGCACAAGCTACATGTATCAAGAAATTAGATGGACACCTTGACACTATTACAAAGATTATTTGGAAAGTATGCAACCATATTTTAAAAACATAATAACACACTATTAATTTTCATACTGAATTCTGATAAAAGTTATGTCATTAATTTTTATATTTAAAAAAAAAAAATTGCATTTCGTTATGATTTGAAATCAAGACAGGGCTTTATTATCGTTATGTTTGTATGTATATGTATATTGTTTTTCTAACAATTTTTTCTGTAATGCAGACAGATGACAACATAAAATTTTGTCAAATTCTTTTTTGAAAACCCTTCATGCTAAATACAGTTACCGTAATGAATTAGATTTGATTTTGTTGATTTATTTCCTGTCCAGTGGCAAATAACACAATAATACATGTATATTTTAGGGGAACACACTAATCACAGGTTGTGCTGACAGTTCTATACGTGTGATAGACTCTACAAATTTCACCCTGTTATTTTCCCTGCAAGGACACAGTGGTAGTGTTGATCACATGACACTTGTTGGTAAAGTTCTAGTTTCTGCAGCAACAGACAGGTTGGTACAAATGTGCATGTCTTTAACATTAGACCTTTATTGGACAGAGTAGTCTCTAGAAATACAAATAACTAATGAAATACGAAAAATATAAAAAATAAACAAGCATAAAAATTTGTAATTAAATCAATTTCAAATGGATGCTTGTAATTCAGACTGTCACACGGACTAGCAACAAATCATCAAAATGTTCTTTGAAGAGTGTAAAGTTATAATTGGCACAATAGATTCTAAAACTACCACAAAATTGTAAAATCACATTGTTTTCTCAATTATTTAACCCACATGGATTATATGTTTACAGAAAAACAGGAAAATAATTGTTCCTAACAAAATAGATATTCATATTGCTATTCTAGTATGTAAGCAAAAAGAACTTTAGATATCATTCTTTAAATTTAGGCATGATTTTCATCAAGATACAAACTTATATTCTACATATTTCCTAATACAAATTGTCACTTTAGTGCAATGACTGGTTAACTCCTATAAAATTTAGAAGGATTTAACCTGTTACTGCACTAAGGTGATGATTAATATACCCTTTAAGACCTCTGCAAATCCCTTGATAATGTTAAAGAATATCTGTTATATTTTATGTAGAACATTACGGATGTGGTATCTTCCAGACAGAAGACTTGTCAACATATTCAGAGGTCATACAGATGATATTGAGGTATCACATGCTTCACATGCTTTATTTTGATTGATCTTCATTTGAAAAGTTTATAGCTTTTGAAAAGAGTACTTTTGCTTTTTGATAGCCTTCCTGTTAGAGGTGATTTGATAATTTTAGAAGTGAAAGGATTTGTTTGTTAGGATGTTCATTATCTTGTTATAAGTCAGTTTTTAAATAATTTAAACATGTATTTATACCAAGATCTTATCATTAATGTTGCAAATATATTGACATGATTGAAATAAAGAGACACAGTAAATTGAGAAAAAATGCTGATGATTCTTACAAAGTTTTATTTGTAAATGATAAGTTACAGACAAAAGCCCCATATTACATGGTGAAATTTCAAAATGACCAGAAGATAAAAGAAGTAAATGAAATTTTAAAAAGCACCAAATTGATACATATAATCTGAGAGTAATAAACGCTATTGATAATGATACCTTATATATTAAGTTGATGTGGTATTTTATTAGGATGTGACTTATTTGCTCTGGATCTTATTACCAGAAACATGGCTTAAAATAAATTTTAAATATTAATTATTGCAAACTTATATCTCATATGATTAGCCTTGAATTTTTATTTTAAAACATAGTTTTTATCTAAGAACTGAGTCAGTGAATTGGGTTTTAATAGAGGTTGGACTTTGAAACAATGCAAATTCATTAAATACTCTTTGTTAAACATTTTGCTTCTTGAGAGCAAATCATGTTGCCCAATGGTAACTGTGTTTAATTAAAAACAATCCCCTTTGACCAATGCCAAAACATATCAGACTTAAAACCTAGGGATATGTTCTTTTTTCATTGCACATCAAAGAACCAGTTATTGCTGTTTTATAACATCAACAATTAACTTACACTCTTTTGAAGGACTGTCACCAAATTTGATCCTTCAAATGACTATAATTGGACATGTATATTTGTGTTATTGTTGTTGCATGTATTGTTGTTGCTATTCTAGTGTATGTATAGCCATGGTACACATGTTGTGACAGGCTCCTGGGATAAAACACTAATACTGTGGGATATAGAGCATGCTGAACAGTTTCATATGTATAGTGGACACAATGAAGGTATTGTTTTTGTATGTGGTCAATGTACCAAAAATACTATGTCTTTCTTTATTTTTGAATACCATTTAATACTTTTTAGCTCACCTGTCACAAAGTGACAGGGTGAGCTTTTGTGATCGTTTTTCGTCCGGCGTCCGTCCGGCGTCCGTAAACTTTTACTTTAAATGACATCTCCACATAAACCGCTGAGCCAATTTCATCCAAACTTCACAGGAATGTTCCTTTGGTGGTCACCTTTAAAAATTGTTCAAAGAATTTAATTCCATGCAGAACTCTGGTTGCCATGGCAACCGATAGAAAAAACTTAAAATATCTTCTTTTAAAAAACCCAAAGAGCTAGAGCTTAGATATTTGGCATGAAACATCTTCTAGTGAGTGTCTATCAAGTTTGTTCAAATAAAAGCCCTGGGGTCAAAATTGGCCCTGCCCCGGGGGTCATTGATTTTCCCTATATGCATATAGTAAAAACTTAAAAAATCTTCTTTTAAAGAACCCAAAGAGCTAGAGCTAAGATATTTAGCATGAAACATCTTCTAATGGGTGTCTACCAAGTTTGTTCAAATAAAAGCCCTGGGGTCAAAATTGGCCCGGCCCCAGGGGGTCATTGATTTTCCCTATATGCATATAATAAAAACTTATAAAATCTTCTTTTAAATAACCCAAAGAGCTAGAGCTAAGATATTTAGCATGAAACATCTTCTAATGAGTGTCTATCAAGTTTGTTCAAATAAAAGCCCTTGGGTCAAAATTGGCCCCGCCCCAAGGGGTCATTGATTTTCCCTATATGCATATAGTAAAAACTTATAAAATCTTCTTTTAAAGAACCCAAAGAGCTAGAGCTAAGATATTTAGCATGAAACATGTTCTAATGGGTGTCTATTAAATTTGTTCAAATAAGAGCCCTGGGGTCAAAATTGGCCCTGCCCCGGGGGTCATTGATTTTCCTTATATGTGTAAAGCAAATACTTTAAAAAAAATCTTCTTTTAAAAAACCCAAAGAGGTAGAGCTTAGATATTTGGCATGAAACATCTTCTAGTGAGTGTCTATCAAGTTTGTTCCAATAAAAGCCCTGGGGTCAAAATTGGCCCTGCCCCGGGGGATCATTGATTTTATTTATGTGTAAAGCAAAAACTTAAAAAATCTTCTTTGAAAAAACCCAAATAGCTAGAGTTAAGATATTAAGCATGAAACATCTTCCAGTTAGTGTCTTCAAAGTTTGTTCAAATAAAAGCCCTAGGGTCAAAATTGGCCCTGCCCCGGGGGACATTGATTTTCCTTATATGTGTATAACAAAAACTTAAAAATCTTCTTTGAAAAAACCCAAATAGCTAGAGTTTAGATATTAAGCATGAAACATCTTCTAGTGAGTGTCTTTAAAGTTTGTTCAAATAAAAGCCCTGGGGTCAAAACTGGCCCCGCCCTAGGGGTGTCATTGCTTTTAACTATATGAGTATAGTTAAAACTTAAACAATCTTTTTTTTAAAAAACTCAATGAGCTAGACCTTAGATGTTTAGCATAAAACATCTTCTAATGGGTGTCTACCAAGTTTGTTCAAGTAAAAGCCCTGGGGTTTAAACTGGCCCCGCTCTGGGGGCCTATATACAGGTGAGCGACTTCAGGGCCATCATGGCCCTCTTGTTTAAGTAATTTTATTGAATTTAGCTTAATGAAAATTCCTTATATCTACACTGTCAGAACTTGGAAGTACTTAATTTTGAGTCAGCTGTTAAACCAACTTAAAGCAAGAAGCTAGGTGTTATTTATCAATATTGATTCAGCTTTTGAAAAATGATAAGGCATTACAAAACTCTATTTTTATCAATGTTAATGGTATATATTTGTATACTGAGAGTTGTGTTTTAGCCATTGAAGGATCATACTATGAAAATTGAGTAGTCGGTATAGAATGTGTTCACACATTGCTGTGCATGCTTGCTTGGTTCTTTTCTGTTACCACAGGTCTGTTATTATGATGCTCAAATTATCATATTGTAATGTATGTTTACATTTGTATTACATGTATACAGTAGTGACATGTTGTTATTTTGATGGAGAGAAGATAGTAAGTGGTAGTGGAGACAATGATTTAAGGATATGGCGAATTTCCCCACCAGGATGTTCACATATACTACAGGGTCATGAAGGTGAGGTGGTAAGTACAATTAAGTTAGTTCTTTGTACATGTAGTTGATACGTACATATGTTCAGATTGACAATGCTCAATACTGGTAGCATAAGATGATAGCATATCTGCTAGCATGAAAAAGTTAAACATAATATTTAAATTTCATTTACCCTGTATATAAAGTTTTTATGTATTTTCTATTTTCATTCACGAATATTATGACATGTATTCAATAGATAAAATGGTAGTAGGGTATTTTATACAGCTAAAAAAAATTCTACAAATGTACATGTTTTTTTCCAACTATGTCAAATGTTGATATTATTTCAGTACTGTTTAGCAGCAAATCATCATGTGATAGCATCTGGATCATCAGATAGTACTGTCAGGATATGGAACTATAATGGTAAGCCATATTCCATCCTGAACTCATATCAAAACTAGTTTTATAAAATTATTTAGACTGCGAGGTTTACTTAGATCAACTAATTTGAAACATACATCTTGCTATTCATAAAAGCAACAGTTAAACCATATCCTACTGAACACAAAATGGCCACTGCTTTAGATTGTCCAAATCAACTGCCCACAATTTGAAAGATGCCAAATAAGGTTATTTTCAATGAAATTTATTATATGGATAAAAATTTGACGACAGTTAATACTGTATCACTGAAATTTTGTTAAACACCTGTATGCTATCAGAATATAGCCAGGCCATCCTGCACGTCAATTCAATCTGACCAGGCCCTTTTTACTATCAGTTTCATATTCAGATATCCCTTAAAATAAAAGTGACCATTATGAAATCAAACTACAACAAGTTCATTTTGCTACTTAAGGGGACTAAGGGTTGGTATGAATCCAATTAAATACCAAAACCTCTACCAATTAATTAGCAAATATTTATTTATGATGTAGGAAAATGCCAGCATGTTCTACAGGGTCATCTAGGTATTGTTAGATGTCTACATATATGTGAAGAACGACTAGTCAGTGGTGGAGACCAAAAAAAAGTCATAGTTTGGGACTATAAAGTAAGTAATCACAAACGTGCAATATTTCTGCACGAAATACTGATTGATATGGCTTATTAATATGACCTTTTCTTATGTAAAGACATAATTTTAAAGTTAAATTTGAGTATTAATATCTGAAGTTAACTTGAAGTTTACAATTGTTGCGAGTTAACATTAAAACCTTTATTTCAGGTAAAGCCATGTTTTGGTTTTGAGACATACTAAATCAACAGTGTTATCATATATAGATATAATAGAGTGAAGAATTATTTCGAAAATTAAATTGAAACAGATAAACAAAATATCTGAAAAACATACTTTTTAAAGATAAACAATACATGTGTTACTGTAGTTATGAGCTAATAAGTCTCACATTTGACTATAATTACTTGTTCCGCATCTAAGGGACAATGATTTGCCTCCATGACATATATATATATATATATATATATATATATATATATATATATATATATATATATATATATATATATATATATAAAATTATAATGTTTAAGAAATTACAAACTCTATGTAAATTCGGTAGCGCTTTCAATGCTTTCTTCGCATATCTTCAGCCGAAACTTTAATAAACAATTATTCGCTACCGAATTTACATAGAGTTTGTTATTTCTTAAACATTATAATTTTATCTATTTCAACACTGCTCAAGGAAGATTTATCATGTTTTAATATATATATATACACATTGTATCAGATAATTCTGATAAAACTTTTGTCATATAATTATGTTTTTAATTTTTTTCAGAAAGGAGTTCAGATGAATATTGTACATAGACATCCATCATTGCTACATTTAATGTGGGTCAATGAAACTAAGTTGATAACAGCATCTCCCGAAAGACCTGGTACTGTGGCAGTACTTAGTTACTGGTAGTGAATCTACAGATACTGGTAGTTAAACTGTGAAACTTCAGATTAAAGTCATATTTGGAATTACCAAGAAGTATCGGGCATTCTTAGAATTGTAGATCATTCTCAAGATTAGAATTTTAAAAAAAGACATTAGCTATTGGACAACCCTTATTTACTAGAACTGGTAGTAAATATCTGTAAAGAGTTCATCAGATTACTATAATTTGGGAATAATGATTATAGTGTGATTGATTTATAAAGAACTGGGCATAACAAACAAAAAAGTTGATAGTAAACAAATAGAACTGTAGCAAGCTGGGATCTTAGACATTTAGAATCACAAAGAAATTTCAGACAATTTCATCATTGTAGATCTATCAAGATAAGAACTGATCTTTGGTTATCAGATTTGCTTAGAAAATTTTAACTAAAGAACAGCTCTTTTTGATAGTTATTAGCAATTAATGAAATATACCTGGCCTCCCATTCTTGTGTGTGGGCATAAAACTAACATTTTAGATAAATGCAAAGTCCAAAACTAAATGTTTTGTTCTGCTGTTTATCTCCTGCAAATGCAAATAAATAATACCAGTACAAGAGCAGTTAAAGTGTAATATTCTTTATGTTTTTATAAATTAATTTCTCAAAATTACTGGTATAAATGTCAATATTTGTAAAGTCAATAAGTTATTCAGGATGTTCAATAGTTTGTTAAGTTTAAATTCGGATAACTTTATTACATTTTC